AGGGTTTGAGGGTTTTTGGGTTTTGGGGTTTGAGGGTTTTAGGGTTTAGGCGAATGAGGGTTTGAGGATTTTAGGGTTTTAGGGTTTAGGGTTTTAGGGTTTGAGGGTATTAGGGTTTGAGGGCTTTAAAGTTTGACGGTTTGAGGGTTTGAGGGTTTTAGGGTTTGAAGGTTTGAGGGTTTTAGGGTTTGAGGGTTTAGGGTTTATAGAGTTTACGGACACACCATCAAACCTTATGCCCTTCAACCTTAGACCCCTAGACCCTTAAACACGCAAGCAGTAACGTTAAACACATAGACCCTAACCCCTCAACCCTAAACTCCACACCACTAAGCCCTGAGCCCTAAAATTTTTGCTTTGGGGGCCTGCTTCGGTCAGCTCCCTGTAGCCACCAATAATCTTGGGAAGGCACCTTTCATGAGTTTAGGATGTCGGGTGAGGGCTTAAGGGTTTAGGGTCTAATGCTGTAGGGTTCAGGATTTCTTGGTTTAGGCCTTGGGGTTTAGGGCTTAGGGTTGGCACTCAGAATTTCGTGTTTGGTGTGCTTTGTGGCGTTTAGGGATGAATTCGGCTTAGCTCCCAGCCCCCCGTAGCCCTACCTGGACCCCAAAAGTATGTAAAATAATGGCCTTTATGGCTGTTTCTTATGGTTTCAAGGCTATTATTTCACATATTGTTAGGTTTTAGGTAGATCTTGAACCCTAAAACCTAAAACACGAACTTCCCACTCGCTCCACCCCTTTATCTCTGCAAACGACCAAATGTGGCTGCAGCTTGCGCAGCCCATGGTCCGAAGAAACCAGCAAGATTAAAGGGACCCTAATGGGAACCCCAAACAGGGAACCCCAAGAATATAGTAGGAATATGATAGGAATATACTTACCAGGGTCCTTATATTCTATTAAATTCCTACTATATTCTTGGGGTTCCCTATTTGGGGTTCCCATTAGGGTCCCTTTACAGATCTTGTTCTTACTGTAAACGTGAGGGTGTCCATGAGGATCAAAAGCAAAAAAACTATCACAATTCAAAATCATTGGGGAAACCGTTTGTTTGGTATAAACCGCCATTTGGAGAGTGGTCGGTGGTCGTTACATGTCGCCCAAACAATCCAATTTTGCCCAAGCCCCGTGGTCGTGACCAATACCAATGGACATGCATGAAAATCACATCTCCAACTCCTCACATACCCCGAAAGCTCTCTTTCCCAACAACCATGGGAGAGCTATTTAAACTGCATTCTAGGAACCAAACAAAGGCCCCAAAAGTGCTTACTTAGGCAGCCAGACCCCACTTATAGTCCCCCTTAAGTAGATAGAATATGGCGTATATGGGGATTTTACTTTAATATACCCAAAGCCATATTCTACCTACTTAAGGGGGACTATATGTAGATCCAAACAAAAACCAAACTTTGGCTTCAGTCAGAACTTCTGACACAATTGACGGACATGAAGCTGGAATATACAGAGACTTTACCAAACTGCGACTGTAGGTGCCAAAATAATTATCGATATCACTCTGAGGTCTACTTCGGGTACCCCATACGATATAGTCCCCCTTAAGTAGATAGAAGAAGGCTTTGGGTATATTATAACAAGATCCCCATATACCCCATATTCTATCTACTTAAAGGGGACCATACTTCTACAAGGAATATGGTCCCATATACTGCTAATGGTTGGATTAGGGGTTTAGGCCCCTGCATGAGACAGAAACCTGATGGCTCCACTCAGTCTCTGCCAAAGTGCTTCGTCTTCTTCCTCAGGACCAAGGAGAAGAGGTCCTTTCTCCAAATCGCTGTCATCTTACTACACAGTTTTGCGAAATACTATTCCATGCAAACCCTTAACCCTAAATCCCAAACCCGAAACCCCAAACCCGAAACCTTCAGATATAAGCCTGGTACAGCGCCTTGAAAACCACACAGAAGTCCCTGCAATACTTGTCGTATGCAAAAGCCCAACTTGTGAGGTTCAGAGGCTGCTAGGCGCAAATTACTGGGTTGATGTTAAGGAACTTGCATTACGTTACCATAATGGGTACATGTAGTAATTCGTATGGATTCGCCAAAATAGTATCTTAAATTAAGTCCCTTGACAGCAAGTTAGATGATGGAACCCCAGCAAAAGAATCATCGGACAAGTTGGCTTACTGGGGGCTTGTAGGGAATAAGGAAATATAGTGTATAGGGATTATATGAGCCATGATTTGAGCTCCCAGTGTCCAGAAAAGGGATTGTATAGGGATTATATTCCCTTATTCCCTACTAACCCCAGCAAGCTGGGTGAGGTCGCCTACCCAAACAGTCCGAGGTAAGATGACGGAAGCTTACGTCTAGTCTGCTTGCAGAGATCTGATGGAACCTGCATTTGAGATCCTATAGCCTTATCTAGACTTTCTTTGCCACCACATTTTTAGGAGCAATGACTGTAGTACACTCCCTTTTTCCCATAGTCCTTTTGAAGCATGCTCTCTTTTCAGTGGAAGACCGAGCAATCCTCCGTCTCTGACAGCTCAAACCCCGAAAACCGCAGTTTAGAGTTTAGGGTTTCGGGTTTAACTCTAGACTTTCAAGCTCCAAGCCAATGGGAACACCCAAAAGAGGCAGATGCCAAATAATTCTCGAACACGCTTCCTTTGGTCTAATTCCACTGTGACAGTCTACCTTCAAAGCCACTACTAGCAGGGTCAGGGGGATTTAGACGTTCAAGTAAATTTATGACCCCTATATGCCATAGAACAACCCCAGTTCTCCCCACAATTAACCCCCTTACTAAGGCCCAACGTCCCTCCAAGTAGACACCGAAAGCTTCCCAAATAGTCCGTGACAAATATCTTCAAAGCTACAAAACAATCTGTAAAACGAACGCAAAGCCACACAGCAAATCCTACAGCTTATGCTGCGGTTTAGGGTATGGGGTGTAGAGTTTGGGGTTTAGGATTTGAGTTTTAGAGTTTAGGGTCAAAAGCAAAAGGTATTGAGGGGCGCGGCAGTATTGTTATGTCAACCGTTGAACCCATGAAGCTCAGACAGCTGTAAACCCTCCTCAATTTCTATGTCAAGACGCAGAGGTTGCTGGGGTTTACCTGGGCTTTATAAATCATGCCACCTTGAGGGGCATCATTTGTGATATAGTCCTTACTATAACAGCTACTATAAAACGGTGCCGAAAAAGGACCGAATGTAGAACAACCCTCGACTGGATACCATTGGGATACTCTGAGGACACCTAGGGCACAGGTAGTGTTTAAGGATTTTGGGATGTGTTCTGGGAACGATCCCTCCTCCGCCCTTAAGAATCCTTACGAAGGACCTTTTCCTCTCCCACATTGCTACCCAGACATATTTTCTCTATATGTATATATATATGCCATATATCTAGGCTTCCTGACCTGATCCCCAAGTTAATGGAAAGAAGCTGTCCCGTCATACAATATACACCCATCTTAAATATTTCAGGCTCTCTGTACCAAAGCTCAATATGACACCTATACCATCCTTAAGATAACCTCCGCTAACTTCTGTGTACTCCCTATCTATTCGTCCCTACATGCGCCTACGGGCACCTAATTGTAGAAGAGCTAAACCCTAATCCCTGACCCCGTGTTGCGGCAGCAATTGTTTAGGAGTTTAGCCTGGGCATGCCAAAGCAAAATTGTGGAAACCCTGGGCCCTACTACAGGGGCCTAAATAATTACCACTAGTCCATTTGAGGTACCATAGACCATAATTATG